GCGTTATGTTCAATCACCACCTTCTTGCAAGAGGAGAACCTAGAAATTTGAAGAACTCTAACAATCAGAACCATACTGACCAATGAGAGCAACATAAATATACCTCCGACTGGCAATATTATGTGTTTTGGACACGCAGGCTAGAATGAAGCATGACCAAAAGCTTTAAGTGCTAGCCAGAAGTTCCCTCAACCTAGCCCAAAGGGTCCATGTAGCTATATGGTATATACTTAGGGCCCAAAGTGGTTCCCATATATCTACTTTAAGGCCGAAGTATATACCATGTAGCTATAGGATATGTATGGGCATGAGAGGGTTTATCTCTACGTATCTACTCTTACTCACTGTACCGATCACTGCCTCACCTTTCAGACTTCGTGAACCCTGAAACGGTACGCTGTGTACTACTTGCCCGAAGGGTCTAAGGACTCAAATAATGAGGTTTCAGGGGGGACCCAAATGCTGTAATATTTATGGTGCTTGGGCCCTAACACCCTATTATTTGGGTGCTTGGACCGTCATGTAGTCCCCACATATCCGTATATATCCCCCTATAACCCCTTTAAAGGGGCCCTGTTATTTGGGTCCTTGGACCCTTAGGGTTGCTTAAGGTTCATTGAGACCACGCGGCTTTCATAGAAACAAGAACCGGAGATTTGTCATGGAAGCTGCAATGGGATCCAACGGTAGAAACAACGCTCAGTCATACAACCCATCACCTAAGTCAAGCTGTCCCCTTCAAGAAACCGTTACCTGAACCTGCAAAATCTGTAGAATGATGGGCAAAAATTTATTTCCTTTTCAAGTCCAGGAATTTAGCAATCACCTCAAAACAAGCAGGGCTGTAGCATGGCACCTGGGAGCCGAAATCCGCAAAAGCCACCCAAAGATGTAAGCACCTTAGAGCCAGGGTGTGTAGTACCTCAATGTAGGGTTAGGGTTTAGGGTTTAGGGTTTAGGGTGTGTAGTACCTCAATTTAGGGCTTAGGGCTCTCCAGGGGCAGGGCAGACAACGGGCTTGGATTATGTAGCATATGAGGGTGAAGCCCGTACCTTAGGATTTAAGGTATTTTAGAGGATCCTAGACCCTAATCCCTAAACCCTAACCCTAGACCCTAAATCCTAATCCCTAAACCCTAAACCCTAAACCTTAGACCCTAAACCCTAATCCTAGGTGGTTGGGTTGACAGGGCTTCGGCTGGCTCATCTCCGACATGAGAAGCCTTTTCGGATCCCTAAGAGGGCCAAGCACCCAAATAATAGGGCCCCTTGAAAGGGGTTATAGGGGGATATATAGGGATATGTGGGGACTACAGGAGGGTCCAAGGACCCAAATAATAGGGTTTTAGGGCCCAAGTACCATTATTAGCATGGTATTTGAGCCCTAAAACCCTGTTATTTGAGTCCTGGGACCCTTAGGGGATGTTAAGCGGCTGCCAAGCTAAACCTCGAAGCTTAAAGCGGTTCAGGGTATAGGGTTTAGAGATTAGGGTTTAGGATTTAGGGTTTAGGGTTTAGGGTATATAGGGTTTACTGTTTAGGGTTTTGGGTTTGGGGTTTAGGGTTTAGGGTTTAGAGATGAGGGTTTTGCGTTTAGGAGGGTCCAAGGACCCAAATAATAGGCGTTTAGGGCCCAAAAAAACCCATGAGTTAGGTCCTTGGACCCTAAGGGTAATACGCTGAAACAATTGAATTCCGTACCATCAACAATGCTTGCCTGGACCCCTTTAAATGCGTTTTTTAATTCGTACATTGTTCTGGCTATGATTTGGATGAGGACGGCACAAATCACAGAGGTACTGCATTGGACACGCCACCTCTAAGCCCTGAACTCCACACCCCCAAACCTTAATCCCTGCACCCTCCCTAAACCCTAAACTTGTAGTTTACATTTTCTGTTCCATTATCCCTATATAACCCCAATATATTATAGTAGCTCCCATTTTCTTTTCCATTATCCCTATATAACCCCAATATTCCCTAAACCCTAAACTTCCTGCAACGCGGCCCAGGAGTTCGGCGATGAGGTCAAGACACTTCGGGAGAACATCTTCGCTTGCCGGACTGGAATTTAGGGTTTAGGGTTTAAGGGATGTATGGGGACCCCTAAGGCGGTTCTATTTTATAGGGATAATTTAGAGAACTACCTTGGCGAACTGTCTTGTCCGCTGCCATGTTTCCAGTAATTCCCTTTTCCTGTTCAATTCTTCCGACCGGCACCCCGATTCGGAAGAGTCCATCCCTCGACTTTGCTTCGACGAGTTTTCTCAGACTTCTCTGTTCTAATCCCCATAAAACCCATCAAAGCTTTAGACCCCAATCCCCTTCAGGATTCATACAAGCCTTACACTAGACAATCCCGAAACAATTCCTCCCCCACCGGCCCTCCAGCACCAGGAAGTAACGCTCAAGGCAAGTCTTGTATTTTAGGGTTTGGTGCTTTTATGAGGATTTTACAGTCCCCGAGATAGAGTGAGATAACTTCCTCCTTGTGGGTCTAGTATGTTGTAAGAAGGACATAAAGAGATAGATGGATTTTTATATAGGGCTTCAACCACCGCGTAAACACTAATTACAGAGTGAAGAGACACCCTTCACCTCTTTATTGTCCTCTCCAGCCCTATACTCACAAAATTCTCCCCACACACTCCTCCACGCCCCCCTCAAATGCGTTTCAGACTCGCTAGCTAGACCTTGCTTCAAGCCCTATACATCCTTAACCTAAAGGCCTGTAAGCTCCCAACGCGAAAGCACCCAGAGCTCGGGAAGCTCAACAGGCCCCTACACCGTAAACCCAAGCTTTAAACCCTAAACCTCAACCTCATAAGCCCAAACCCTAAAGCCTAATCCCTAATTCCTAAACCCTACAACCCTAAACCCTAATCCCTAAGCTTTAATCCCTAAACCCCACAACCCTAAACCCTAATCCCTAAGCCCTACAGCCTTAAACCCTAAACTCTAAACCTTTGAGAAGCTATCAAGGTCCCTGGGCTGGGTATCCAAAGCGCGGACTCCTGCGCATGGGAGGACCTTTAGGGGCTGAAAGCAAGATGCCTAGGATGAGGGGTTTAGGGTTTAGGTATAGGGTTTGGGTTTAGGGTTAGGGTTTAGGGTTTAGGGATTCTTTAGGGTTTGCGGTTTAAGGCTTGGGGTTTAGCTTTCAGGGCTTCGGGCTTAGCGTTTATGGGTTTAGGGTCAAGGGCTTGGCGTTTAGGAATTAGGGCCTCTACTAGTTATTCATGGTGTAGGACCCTAAATTGAGTCATATGAGACAAAGGACATTAAACGGGACCATGAGTTAGACGACCCTTTTTACCTGATCTTAAAGTTGATCCCATAGAGTTTAGGGTTGAGGGTTCATAGGGCTTGGGGTTTTGGGGTTCATGTGGCGTGGGGTTATGGCTTACGGATTCACGGTCAAGGGTTCAGGGTTAGGCTTAGGGTTTAGTAGCCGAGTTGTGAAGTTGGCATGGATAATTATGGTATGTTGGGGGCATTAGCTAACGCGCGCTCTACCGCTTTAGGGTTTTGGGTTAAGGTTACCTACAGCTCTATAGGTCATACCCATGAATTCATTCAGTGGCGTGTTTTGGAGTTTCAAGTAGACCCCTAAACTTGACCCGAAGCCCTGAGTTTCCACGTAAGGACCTTTACATACGCGTACCACGAACCGTAAAAACAATTCTCAAGAATTCCCCCATGTATACCCTGACTAGACCCCAAATTATCTGCTGCACGCATATACATGAGCCCTCTCTGGCCCAAATTACATCCTAAGCCCTTTCCCCCCAAATTTGAAAACCTGCTACGTCTGCAAACGCCAGATGACCCTTTGTCAAGCTTATATACACATGTGCTTTAAAGCTTTTTCGACATACATATATATATATTTATACACACATACACATGTACGCACCTGAAACCATGTCGGGCTTTCAATCTCTCTTCCATCCCCCTACGATATAAGCCCTACAACTAACAGAAAACCTATGACCCTAAAAGCCCTAAACCCTAAACCCTGAACCGTGTGTTACACCCTTGAACCTTATAATCCCAAACCCTAAGCCCTGAACCGCGTGTTATGTCCTTATTTGTTGCACGTGTGTTTAGGGCCCTTTTCTCTCTGGAGGACTCTGAAGTGCTGCGCCTGGCGCAGGCAGAGAACCACCTGCTAAATCTAGAGTTTTAGAGATCAAAGTGTGTTGAAAGGCAGGGCTTACGGTTGTTGGAGAGGACTTTAGGGAAGTATTGCTATCCACAAGGGGCCAAGGACCCAAGTATTAGGGATATTTGGGCCTTAAAACCCCCTTTTATTTGAGTGCTTGGACCCTTATGGTTTAAGGGTTGTAAGTGTAGGCTGTAAGGGCTTCAGGGTTTTCAAGTTAGGGCTGGAGGTTTTTCAGGAGGCAGTTTTGGAGATTTAAGGGTAGGGCCTCAGCCATCAGCCCCAGGCATGTACCAAGGTCTGGGTTGCAGATCACATGAGTTTTTTAGGGAACTAGAAACAGAACCCACGCGAGCTATAGACTCTGGTCTAAACTCCTAAAAGGGAGGTTATCTGGGGTTTATATAGGCAAGTATTCTGGGGATGATCAAGTTAGTGGAGACCATTTCCATTTTCTAACCATGCGCCACCCATCACCACCCCCCGGCACCCAAACCATAAGAACCTATACCTTAACCTTCAACCCACCGAAAGACGCCAAGACAAAACCCACTTGAAGAACTCATATTCTGGAACTATCCACCTCATAGAAAAACATACTCAACCCCATAGCATGCCCCACACATAACATCCAACCCGAAATCCCTAACCGTAGAAAATGGAAATTGTCTATCTTAATAAGTTGTGTATCATAGGAATAAGGCTTCTGATTCAGGTTGTAACGACTAGAATGATACTAGTAGCAGAGCATGAAGTGCTTGTCCAGATTCCCGTCTTTCAGCTTCAGGCGAACCCTCCGTGGAACAATGCCTTCTACATCCATCTCTCAATGGCCATGAAAGTTTACCTGGCACTTGCCACACTCTTCTGGACACGACGGACTGCATTCCAGTCGTTTTTTACAATCCGTCCTGCCTCATGGCGCGTTTCCGCGCCAGGTCAGTCACGTTTCGCACGGCCAAGGCTTCAACGCGTCAGGTGCTTGTCCAGCAATATGCACAGACGGCCTCGGACTGCCCCCGCATTCTCACCACATTCCGGAAATGTTCAAGCTTCCAGCACGTGTATAGTGAGGAAGAATGGTTTGTCAGCCTGGCCTGTTTTCGGCGAAGATGGGCAGCATGATGTGCCGGCAGCAGCGCCAGCAGATATGGGACCATTTCTTGCAGTCTCAGCGGGCCTTTCTGGTTTCGTTGCAGAACACACTTGTGCAGTGCTTTCAGATGGTCAGCTCGTCTGCTTTGGAAGCAGCGAAAGTGGGGAATGTGACGTGCCAGCAGATTTGGGACCAGTTTGTGCAGTCTCAGCGGGCAGAGCGCATACTTGTGCAGTGCGGATGGATGGTTATCTCGTCTGCTTTGGAAGCAACAAACTTGGAGACAGCACATACGGGCAATGTGACGTGCCCGCAGATTTGGGACAAGTTTTGGCAGTCTCAGCGGGTCGAGCACATACTTGTGCAGTGCGCGCAGATGGTCAGCTGGTCTGCTTTGGAGACAACGAAAGTGGGCAATGTGACGTGCCCGCAGATTTGGGACCAGCTTTGCAAGTCTCATCGCGCAAGGCACATACTTGTGCAGTGAATGCACATGGTCAACTCGTCTGCTTTGGAAACAACCGCTATAGGCAATGTGACGTGCCAGCAGATTTGGGACCAGTTTGGGCAGTTTCAGCAGGCGCTTATCATACTTGCGCAGTCCGTGCAGATGGTCAGCTGGTCTGTTTTGGAGACAACAAATATGGGCAATGTCACGTGCCCGCAGACTTGGGACCAGTTTTGGCAGTCTCAGCGGGCCGTTATCATACTTGTGCACTGCGTGCAGATGGTCAGCTGGTCTGTTTTGGAGACAACAGATATGGGCAATGTCACGTGCCCGCAGATTTGGGACCAGCTTTGGCAGTCTCAGTCGGCGACTCTCATAGTTGTGCAGTGTGTGCAGATGGTCGGCTCGTCTGCTTTGGGCACGTACCCAAAGGCTTTGAAGGCTGAGCATGCAGAAAACGCTAGAGAGTGCCTCCCTCAAACCTTTAGCAGCTCGACTCCCAGATATCGCCTATCAATACCTTCAACTGTGTAGTAACGTTGACCTAACTTGCTTTCAATATTTTCTATTGTAGAAATATTGCGTGACAGGTTGCTCGCCCTTTCTGTGATTTTCGTTGCCTCGAATATTTTAACTTCATCTCCTACATCTAGTTCAGGATAAATACGGTTCTTCTTTCCCTGCATCGTTAAATCTAATTTCACTTCGAATTGATAACTGAGTTTTCGGGCATCTTTTGGTGTAAATCCCGTTGCCAAGTGCTTCATGTGATCATAATATTTTAACTCCTGGTATTTCTAACATGTAGTCCGAGCATTGGATATTGCTTATCGTTACCTTCAACCTTGTAATAATTTTGACCTAATGTGTTTCTGTATTGTATAAATATTTTGACTGTAATTTTCCACTCAGGGCTTCCAACTCCAAACCAGATATCCGCAAAGCCTGGCCGTCAGGGTCAAAGATCCCTGGGTGGAGGGTTTAGGGTCTATATGAGCTATAGTCTAAACTCCTTAATTGTTATATAGGGGACTATGATAGGGTCTATCAAGGGGGATACGAAGAGTTTAGACCATAGCTCATATATCGTGTTTAGGTTTCAAGCATGCCGCCCCGAATGATTCAATCTCTTCTATTTTACCAAAGAACCTGGCTAGTTGCCTTTCGCTTACTTTAGATCCTCGCGTTGAACCATTTTTACCCAAGCGCAAAAAGAGACCACAAAGGCAAAACCCTATAGGCTCTCAACCCAATTACCCCAACCACCCAGATGTTGATCCATATTCCTCAAACGCCAGATCCCAAAATCCTATTCTTAGGTTGCTTCTACCCCGGAAGACCTCCGTAAACCCGGAATACATGTAAATTGAAATTACAGGTACAACATGCAGAACACAAAGCCCAGTCCAAACAGGCAGGCAGGACATGAACTCTGTACAAGTTCTATGGACCTAAAGCCCAGATTCTACATCCTAAGCCTTATCAGCCACCCCCCCCCCCCCAAACAAGAAA